AGTCCTTGATCCTCTGCAGCAAGTGCATGAGGTCCTCCTCAGTTTCAGCAAGCAGGGTTGTATCAACTGCATAACACAGATTATTAATAGATCTTCCACCAATCCTGACGCCACACATCTCCTCATAGAGCCCAGCCTCCCGGAAAATCTGCTCTGCATACAGGTTGAAAAGGTATGGAGACAGGACATACCCCTGGCATACACCCTTCCCAATTTTGAACCATGCAGTGTTACCCTGCTCTTCTACTGTATATTTCTAAAAACAATCTTGGGAGCCTCTCTGAGGTCTCCATTGCTCTCTGACTTTTCACAGGTTAAGTACCTCCAAGCTCTCAGGACTTGGAGAGCTAGCTATAAGCCATTCGTGCACCTGAGCCTTGTTCATCCCGCTTCTTTAAAACAGCTCCTTTCTTGAACTACTTTGTGCCATTAGGTAAGCCATTTCATCTTTTGTGGGGGGGGGCTAAAGCTGAAAAAAAAAGGGACAGATTCAACGTTGACTCATTTTTCTGTTCAACAGATCTTTCTTGGCACTTGATGAAATTGGGCCTAGGAGATGATAGACGTGGGGTGGACCCAAGAATGAACGTCCAGGACGCAGTTCGTCCTCTGGGAAGGTAAAATCCAATAATAGCGGGCAGGTACATGAACAGGTGCCTTAGGGAATGAAGGCCTTGCCCTCTGTCAGTATCCATGCATTCTTACTGGGTGCAAAGCAAAGAGTGGCTGGTGGGAGGCGCAGCGTGGGGGAGAGGTTTGCATAGGAGCCTTTCTCGGCAGCCTCTGCTCCCCCTGGAGTGCAATAGCGGCGCCCCCGGGGGAGGTGGGGGTCTCGGCTAGACTGGCCTCCCCCTCCCTCCAGCTCTGGGGGAGGGGGAGGAGGACCACCGAGACGCGACGCTCTCCGCGGTCCTAGAGAAGCTGGGGCGCCCGGAGCGCGCGTGTCCCTCTCCCAGCGCGGGGCGCGGGCCGCTGTGCGGTGTCCGCGGGTCCCCTCCCTCCCCAACCTCGGACCCCCGTGGGCTCTGCTTCTGCTCGTCTTCCCGGAGGACGGCCCCGAGCCATGGCGACCGCGCCCCTGGCGAGCGCGTCCCGCCCAGGCCCTGCCCACGAGCCGTCCGGGGAGGAGCGCGCGGTGAGTGCGGGGCCGCCGGGGAGCGGACGTGGCCCTGCCCGGGCTCCGGGCCCCGAGGAGAGGCGGAGAGGAGGCCCGGGGCGGCGGCTGGGAAATGGAGGGGCGCCCCGGAGTGAGGGCCCCACGGGGCATGCAGGGTGCAGGCGGAGTCTGACACCCAGACCGGTGTCTGCAGGGGGAGGAGATGCACCTGCTCCTGCTGCTTGTTGCTGTGCGCTGTGAACCGACCCGCAGCTCACCCGCCAGCGGGTTTTCAGTGTCCAGCTGTCTCCCTCAGAGCTGCTGCTGGATTTGAACCCTGTGGCTTTAGGATTGCAGCGCAGCTTCTTAGCTACCCGAGGGCAAAGGCAGTCACAGCGCTGTGGGTAGCGGCCAATGGCCAAAATTTTAAAGAGTTCGATTGCACAGATGAGGTTTAACCAGATCAGGTAATATTTGAGGTGCGCCTCGATATGAATAGGGGTTTGCAGGTGCAGGAGGAAGGGAGAGGGAGCCGCAGGTGGGAAGGCGCAGAACTGGCTGATAAACAGTTTGGCTTCTTAAGACGATGCTGAAAAGACAGAGGACAAGGGTGGTAGTGGTGAGAGAGGATCCTGGACAGGTGAGCTGGAATCTGGACTTTATTAAATAGATGGGTTAGCTGGATGGAGGTCTTTGTGCTCTACACAAAACAGAACAAAACAACCCCCCAAACCCACAACACACCCTCCCCTAAAAGAAACCAGTTTATTGTTTTAAGTCTAAACTGACCCATTCCTGACCAGTGGATTCTTCAGAGGTTACATAGGACGCAGGAGAACATTGCAGAGCACCTAGTGAATTACAAAACCACTGGTGCTTGGGTTGGTGGCACAAGAGCTGGATAAATGGCTGTGAGAACTTTGTAGGGTAAGGGTTGACGTGTAATGGACCAGAATCAATACTTTCTTAGTCTGGAGACAGAAAGCCTGAATTACAGGATTTGCTATAATACAGGAAGTTCAAGGAAGCCCTGAGAGCAATAGGTTAACACTGTGCTTTTTAAGGAATACTATTAAAGGAAAGGAAATAAAGGTTCAAGCTCTCAAATATAGAGGAAAAGGGGGACAGGGAGACTGGGGCATGGGAAGTCAGTGTGGTGGGATTTTTTTTCAGTGGAACCATTGAGGATAAAGGATACAGTAAAGTCAGACTTAAGATCGGTCCTGTTGAATATGGTATACAGGACAATCTGAACTTGGCTGTTGTCAAAGACTAGGAGGGAGAGAAGAAAGAGGGTGATTCTTCACAGGGGAAGGAGGGACAAGGGAGTGAAGGCAGAAAGGAATGTGGCACAGTAGGAGTGAGCCGGAAGGTCAAATAGACCTGGGTTCTGTTTCAGTATCTGACTTCTGGGAAGTTCGTCAGCTCCTTAGTTTTCCTCTTGTATGAAATGGATCTAGTGCTTTCTTCCTAGACGATGGGTCTTAAACAATAAAGTGCTGCCACAGGCTCCGTTAACGAGACTTGTCAAACATTGGTGGCCTCTGAAGAGAGCACACTGGAGAAGAGATGGGATCGTTCTTTTGAGCAGAAAAATGGAAAGGGATAACTTTTTGCAGAGATTCATTTAAAAAGTTGAGAGATTGTATGCTGAAAGATGAAAGACACCAGAAAATTGGCTGTTGGTATTTTGTATCTTTTTTTTTAAGTAAGAAATGAAATCTGTGGAATACCCTGAAATGTTTAGGATCCAGGAACCCTATGGGCTTCCCCGTTGGTACCTCTTAATGTCCTGTCTGTCCCTTTATTTTAAGTCTGAGGCCTGAGGTTGCCCTTTGGCATTTAAACATCTGTCGTTTCAGGAATCAGTGACCTTTGAGGATGTAGCTGTGTACTTCTCCGAGAATGAATGGACCAGCCTGGCCCCTGCCCAGAGGGCTCTGTACAGGGATGTGATGTTGGAAAATTATGGGACCATGGTTTCCCTGGGTAAGAGTCTTTCCCTTTGGCCTCTGCCATTAAGAGTTTCCGCACTCCTTCTACTTAAGAAATCCAAGTGTCTTTGATAATCCTGAGCTGAGTAGTAACTACAGGCTCTTGGGCTCTTAATGGCTGGACCTTAGAGGTTGCTGAGAAGTGGACAGTTCTAATGTCAATTTGGACCTCGTGTAAGGCTTCCTAGATATGCCTAGCCCCCAATGGGCTCAGTGGGACAAGAAGAGATTCCTGAGACTCCACTGAGCTGTCAGTTCTCTACTTCTGTAGGGTAGTACTGAACATTTTCATACAGATGTCTGAATTTTAAACATCTATGAGCTAGAGGATAATAAGAAAGCTTAGTTTCTCAATGAGTGAAACCATCCCTTTGTCCAGAATCAGGATGTTACTGACCTCCTCTTATTTATTCTGCCCGCTTCCTGACTTTTGTGATCTGCCTGGCCCTCTTCCCTGGATCTCCCGCCCCTTGTCCTTTCTTGTTCTCCCCCTGATATTTGCCTTTCCGCTTCTGCATCAGAAGACAAAGATCTGGAGGGAGTCTTGGGGTTGCTCTGTGACTCTGCTCGCATGCATGTCCCCTTTCTTTCCCCTCAAGCAGCATTTCCACTTCCCAAACCTGCTCTGATTTCCCAGCTGGAAGGAGGAGAAGCACCATGGTTCTCCCATCACCAGGGAATTCTGTTTAGAGAAGGCTTGAGGAGCATCTTCTCAGGTGAGTGGGACACATCTGCCGATCACCTGACCACCTCCCTTGTCTTACGCTTTGAAGTGTTGTAAGTTTGTACTCTTTACAACTCCGTCTTGTCCTGATTCTTTTACTGTGTGAATTTCACCTTCAAAGGTCAAGTGAAGTAATTCTTAGATGTTAAAGAAGTTATCATGAAAACTTGCTTAAGTTTCTTTTACAGTGTTCTTGACATTTTTGAACGGATTGTGTGGATATTTTTTTGTCTCATTGGAAATTGATGGACTTGCAACTTCCCTGTACCATTATTTCCTGACTTTCATATGCTTCTCTCTCTCAACCATACTCTGTCACATCTGTCTCTGTTCTTGTAATAAGCGTCACTTCTCGAATTGAACTGGCCTTATTTGTGTCTTAACCCTGGCAGGACATCCATATCTAAAGCCGCCTGTGGTCTCTCAGCTTGAACAGGTGAGAGGGTCACTGGACCTGAAGCTGCATGGAGAGAATGAAAGCCCAGTTAACACCGGTATGTGAGAGGGACATGAGTGCTTCCCCCCACCCCCCGCCCCGGTCACACATTTTTCTCTGCCTTGCCTTTGTAAAATATTAAAAATCCATTTTACCACTCATGTTCTAAGTGATACTCCAGCAACTTCCATGTCAAACTCAATGAACTTAAAATGGCTCTTTTATTCTAGAATCAAACTGAGTACATGACATACCCATCTAGCCAATATGGCCAACTGATTTATTTTTCTAATATAATTGCTCTATTTTGCTCATTTTATTAGTTGTGGTGATGGTGTTGTTACGTTCTAGCAGGGATTAAAAAACCAGTAAGCCATTGTGGCTATCCTGGAAGAGTTCACAGGCTGATGAGATAATCATATATGTAAATGGATTGTGTGTGTGTGTGTGTGTGTGTGTGTGTGTGTGTGCCATCAAATCAGATCTGACTGATACAGGAGGAGATTGTCCCTCCTTCTCCAGCAGATTCAAACTGCTCACCTCTGAGACTGCAGTGCCGCTTCTTGCCACTAGGCCATCAGAGCTCTCCAGTAAATGGCTATTTTTAAAAAATGATGCCCTAACAGGTATGAATAGGTACTTTGGAATCAAAAGGGAGAGACTCTTTGCCCAACTCTTTCTGAAATTGTGGGGCATACATTTTCCATGCTGGGCTTGGTGATTGGATTGAGATGACTATATTTCCTTAGCTTAGCTTCCTCAGGTTTATATAGAAATTCAAGTCCCCTGCCCGTTCTTCTTCTCATAGTACATAAATTGGACTAACTACCTAAAAGGAAATCTGACTTGACCTCACTTGGCTTCAACGCAACTATTCCCTAAGAGCCTTCCTGCACTCCATCTGATAGCAGTCACATCTCCTAGAGGTTCTCTGTCTAGTTTCTGCCTTTGATTTACTCTCTGTAAGTTAGTCTTGCTATGCCATTTTCTCCTAATATAAGACACAGGGGTGACATTTGAAGAGAAATGCACATGTTATTACAACTTGGTGGGCAGTGATGACATTTGCAGCTTTGATTTCTTTCTGCAGGTATACTGAAGAGTGGAAAAGAGGATTTTATTCTGAAGCAGGAATTTTTTCAGGAGGCACGCAGCCGTAGGAGTATATCAGGTAGTCTCCGGTGCTATGGCTCCCAGGAAGTCTGGTTTGGAAAAACCCATGAAGGAGGAAAAAGCCCGTTGCAGGGAAGATGGTCCAGCGGGCAAAGCGTGGAGAGCCTTGCAAGTGATATTATAGAAGTGATTGTCAAGGACGAGGTGGTAGAAAAACATTCAGACTCTGCTGGTCTCAGTACCCACCTTACTGCATGTCAGAGAATTCTAAGCGAGCAGCTGTGCTGTAAATGTGAAGATTGCGGCAAATGCTTTTATCAAAACGAAGACTTTGTTCAACATCAGAGAACTCATAATAAAGACAAAGTCTACGGATGTAAGGAATGTGGGAAGGTTTTCCGTTTTCGATCCCACTGCATCGCCCATCAGAGAATTCACACTAGGGTGAAACCCTACGAATGTCAAGAATGTGCTAAGGCCTTTGTTTGGAAGTCAAACCTGATCAGGCATCAGAGAATACATACGGGAGAGAAACCTTTTGCGTGTAAGGAATGTGGGAAGGGCTTTAGTCAGAACACAAGCCTCATACAACATCTCCGAATCCACACGGGGGAGAAACCTTACACGTGTAAAGAATGTGGGAAAAGCTTTACTAGGAACCCCGCCCTTCTTCGACATCAGAGAATCCACACCGGAGAGAAGCCTTATGAATGCAAGGTCTGTGGAAAGGGCTTCATGTGGAACTCCGATCTTGCTCAGCACCACAGAGTCCACACAGGGGAGAAGCCTCATGAATGCACTGAGTGTGGGAAGAGCTTCATTTGCAAGGCACACCTTATCAGGCATCACAGGATCCATACTGGAGAGAGACCGTATAAATGCAATGACTGTGGAAAGGCCTTCAGTCAGAATTCTGTCTTAACAAAGCACCAGAAGCGCCATACTAGAGAGAAACCCTTTAACGTGGACATCGCTCATCTTCTTGAACTTTCAAGAATGCAGAATGGTGATACTTGTTTATAATTCTCATGCAACGGGAGCCCCAGGGAGAGAATGAGATAAGCTTTCATAATTTTACTCTTAATCAGCCTGTTAGCCAGTAATCCCATGTCTCTTCTCCTGACTAGCTACCTAGTTCTCTTAACAAGAATGGCCCCTCTGTCCAGCCATGTGTCCTCCAACCACTGTTCACTTCAGCGCCTAGAATGTGTTAGGTACTTTCCATGTTAGGTACTTTCCATTATTTAATTTTTAAACACGGTGCGTACTCATTCCTGTTTTATAAATGAAGAATCAATGGGTACAAGATTTTCTTCTAAAACACGTCCAAAATTACTCAGCTAATAAGTGATAAGAGTTGATATTGAAACTGGGCCTGACTCCCGAGTTCACATTCTTTATTTAATTGTGAATGTTCCTTACCTTTGCCTGTTTTTATTTGCTCAAGTTTTCCTGGGCTAAAAGTTTCCCTTGATCTGAGATCTAGCTCCTTCATCTAAACAGACTTCTTTTTTAAAATTTTTTAAAAGTATTTTTTTTTGTTTGTGTACTGTCAAATTGGATCTGAGTGGTACAGGAGGAGACTGTCC